ACTTTCATTGTATTTATAGTACACTGATTATATATATAAATAAGACATCATTCTCTCTTACTTGTACATAATGTTATTTAGTCACTATTGTACTTATAATACTTTCATTGTATTTATAGTACACTGATTATATATATAAATAAGACAACATTCTCTCTTACTTGTACATAATGTTATTTAGTCACTATTGTACTTATAATACTTTCATTGTATTTATAGTACACTGATTATACATATAAATAAGACAACATTCTCTCTTACTTGTACATAATGTTATTTAGTCACTATTGTACTTATAATACTTTCATTGTACTTATAGTACACTAGTTACTCAAGTATATTTTATCTTAGAAAGGAATATGCTGATAAGGTGTTTTTAATAAGATAAAAAAAACTTCTAACACAATATTACGCCTTCATGTACCTTTGAGAAACACTAATTACCGCATACATTTTCGAAGTGTGTGTGTGTACTAAATAAAACTCGCTGTTAGGATGCTGACCTAAGTATAAAATCGTTATTACGTTTATTGATTTAGAATTTCAAGAGCAACAAATACAACATTCAGTCTATGAGTGGGTGTTTAATCTTGATTGCACTATGATCAAGTATGGATGTTCCAAAGAGGGAAGTCAACCAATGGAAGGGCTCATTACACCCACAGAATAGAGCCAATTATTTAGTGCACTGTATTAGAAGTAGCATCTCCATCAAACCGGGGTTCTTCAATTAGTTACAAACTATTTAGGATTTAGTGCTCTATACTAGATGTAGCATCTTCATCAAACAGGGGTTCTTCAATTAGTTACAGACTATTTAAGATTTAGTGCTCTATACTAGATGTAGCATCTTCATCAAACAGGGATTTTTCAATTAGTTACAAGCTGTTTAGGATTTAGTGCTCTATACTAGATGTAGTATCTTCACCAAACAGAGGTTATTCAATTAGTTACAGACTATTTAGGATTTAGTGCTCTATACTAGATGTAGCATCTTCATCAAACAGAGGTTCTTCAATTAGTTTCTGGCTATTTAGGATTCAATCGTAACACATGATCAGAAGAAACATGTTTATGTATCTAGAAAACAGTGAATATTTAATAAAGTCACACAGGAAACTAAAGAGGACGCATCATATATCCCACTGGAATAGCAGCTGTGTTCTGGTACTTTGTGAAAAGCCATTAAATTAGTTATTAATTATGTCATTTTTATTCAGAGTGACTAGTGCTATCCACATGACTGGTTATCCTCAATCCAACATAGATGAGGTCTTAACCTCTATATATCACGTGAACAACTGTTGAAAGACACTGCTGGTGACAATCTTGCACAACATATACAAATGAATATATAAATATGAATCACTTACACGTTAATGATAGTTGCATGAAGGAGTTTTAAATCAATATTAAAATCTTAGGTCAATGTAAAATTTATGCAGTCAATTTTATACGATGTTACGAGGCTATGCCTTCCGATATGGCGAATTATTTATCACAACCTTACGTAATGCCGTGTCATAATACAGAATCATTGATTACGTTTCCTGGATACACAGAGAACAATGATAGTTATTACGATTACCTGTTCGTTTGTTTCTCTCATAATATATCGCGACACACAAACTTGTCAAAGGCGACATTATACAAAGTTTTTTAAATATATTGTGAAATAAATATTTCATACTCTTTTGAAGTTATATCAGTCAACTGATTTGTTTTTGTCTTTATGGATTAATATACCCAAGTTCTATTTCTCTTTTTATTTATTTAAAAAACATTACCAGTAAAATATATATAATTTTAATATTCTGTTTACTTTTCGAAGGAAATCATAAGTTTTTTTAACATATAAATTTTCTTACCACAGCATATAATCCTAAGTTCTACTAGTAACCTATAGTGGCATGTTTATAACATGAGAAAATTGCAGGGCATTATTAATTAGCATTGCTTCAATTGGCATCAATGACTAACCAAACGAACACTGTCTCAACTCGACTCGTAGCATCGTTTGAACTAACACAGCTACTGAGTAAGCACCATCCAGAACAATTATGGCTACAATTTGACTTGGAACAAGGCCACAGTAACCACAGTCCAAAAAATGAAGGATACAATGTGATTTTAACAAGGTTATAGTAAGTACATAGTAAGCACCATCCAGAATAATGATGGCTACAATATAACTTGGAACAGTAAGTATACACGTTCTCTTGATGATGACCAATTAGTTCCTAAACATATTAACTAGCCCTAGACACATGGTAAAAAAAAAAAACTTGATAAAACATTCTGTTATCTTTAAAATCTGAAAATATAATACTCTGGAAACAATAGGGTGGATGCAATCTGGTACAATGTTTCAAGAAGACCACTTAATATGTATATATACTTTATATATGAATAGTATCTTACACAAGATCTCATATATATATATATATATATATATATATTGACACTTTACATACTGTAGTAAACAAGTTGTTACTTGGATTATCATATATTATCAAAATTACCTTGAGAATGGAGATGTCCTACTTCATCACTGTTATGATGTGAATGCCTTTTGTAAGCTGGCAAAGCATTACTATCACTGAAAAAAAAACAAAGATAAAATTGAAAAATACAGTCACAGTGGTGTTTACCAATTAATGTGTCAAGACTGGAATGGTGTATATGTAGGTCATACAGGACATTCCACAGAAACATGAGTTGAAAAAGATTCAAGAAGATTGGAAATGGGGAAAAATGGACTTAACTTTTGCAACACACTTATGAAAACTAAACATCAATTTCACGCAAAAAAAATTACAGAATTTTATACATCTATGGAAAAGGTAAAAAATAACATGGAGTTTTATATATCCATGGAAAAAGTAAAAACTAACTTGGAATTTTATATATCTATGGAAAAGATAAAAAACTAACTTGGAATTTTATATATCTATGGAAAAGGTAAAAAACTAACTTGGAATTTTATATATCTATGGAAAGGTAAAAAACTAACATGGAATTTTATATATCTATGGAAAAGGTAAAAAACTAACTTTGAATTTTATATATCCATGGAAAAGGTAAAACTAACATGGAATTTTATATGTCCATGGAAAAGGTAAAAAACTAACTTGGAATTTTATAATATCTATGAAAAAGGTAAAAAACTAACATGGAATTTTATAATATCTGTGGAAAAGGTAAAAAAACTAACATGGAATTTTATAATAACTATGGAAAAGGTAAAACTAACATGGAATTTTATATATATCTATGGAAAAGGTAAAAAACTAACTTGGAATTTTATATATCTATGGAAAAGGTAAAAAAACTAACTTGGAATTTTATATATCTGTGGAAAAGGTAAAAAAACTAACTTGAAATTTTAGAAATGAATAAAATATAAAAACTAATCCAGATAAACTTTGAAGTGATTAAATCAATTTAAGCCTTTCCCCACTTTCCTGAGAAAGAATATCTTTAATTATAATTGTCATAAGACATTAGTATTAGACCTATTACTGTGTTTATTATGTCCCAGCAGACCTGATGAGCTGTGTATTGAGTGAAATGCATCATCCACAATAGATATTAAGGACATAGTGTGGTTGAAATATTATTACATTCTTCTTCTTCTTGAAAAACATAAGGGACATAATTACGAATGCTTTATTACAAGTATAATTAATGGGCCAATCTTTACCAATTATCACTTGCTATCAACCAACAAAGTACAATGCTACTCCTTTTCCAAATGCAGAGAGATCTCAGGTTCTATCTTTACTACCCTTCAGGTATTCTTCCAAAATCTTCCAGAGTGATTAGATTGTTTTCAATTTCTACTCAAAACTGGTCTGAAATTACTGATGAACACAGTATACAGTATGACATGACACACATTATCGCAATCAAAGAAGTATAATACTTCTGATAATTCCATTAATGATGGCAATCTAGCATTATCCACAATACTGCAATAAAAAATTCATGACTTCTTTAACAATTATCAGTGGACCAACTCCAAACCAGCTAAAAAATAAGAATAACTATGATAATATTCCACAACTACACAGTCATATCCAAAGCATTCTCCTGGTTCACCTCTCCAAAACAAACAATGAGTAGTGGGATTCATTTATCCATATTTGATTTTCCACTGTTTTTAACCTAAGTTTCTATGTTATATGATGAAAGCTAATATTTTGCAATCACAGCTATAATAAGTGGCTTAATGGTTGCAGTCCATCTAAAAAATCCAGCAACAGAGAGCTCCCAGCAAACGGTGGATGAGCCTATTTGTAATTTAGAATTTAATCTCCAAAGTAATAGATTTAAATTTAAAAATTTTTATGAATCAAGGAGTGATTTATCTTAAATAACTGTAATAATATTCCACATTAATAGGCAGGAGCATCGAGAGCCAGTCCAGGCCCCGTGGTCAATAATATCATCATTCTATTTATTAACCTTGGCTGATTTTTCATAAAAGAAATTTAGATGACAAATTTCTTCATGAATCCATGTGAAAGCAGTAGTCATTTTAGCTCATTAAGTAGTATACATTTTTAGTGAGCTTTGGAATATCCCACTGCCGGGCCCCTCAACATACCCCGAGCCAGCTGCCTCCTTGCCCCCAAAATGATCTTATAGTACATTCAGAATACCTAGCTTTAACAAATAAAACATCTCTTAAAAACACCTTGGGAAGGAATCCAACCAGCATCCAGCCAATGGTTAACTCGTCACAAAGTTTTACTCTATACCATCTTACAACCAAAGCTCCACAAACTGTATAGAGAGAAATATCAAATGCATTAACTGAAATACATTTTTAGTTGATAGGTCCGAGTGCATTCTCACCCATAGTGCTGTTTAATTCTCTCTTTTTTTAGTGACTGTTGTAACTATTATTTCATTTTGAAAATAAACACTTCACGATTTGAATGGTTTTTAACGTGGTCTTTTATCTTTACTCTCATCCTAATGTTACCTCTTATCAGCTGTAAGAATAAAAAAAAAACATTTCTGATAACACATATTCCTTACATCTAATAGTTTCATAGGTAAAAGGCTGGAAACTGTTCAGATGGAATAAGTAAACACTACATGTAAAACTACATCAACATTGATGGCAAAGTGGTGATTATTTTTCTTTAAGAGCCAGATGCTGTCATATGAAAACTATCACCAAGGAGACAAGCAAGTGAAGTTTAACCAAACACTCAATCTGAGGTAAGATAGCATTGGACACCATGCTGAGATCTTCAAGTAAAAATTTCAGAATAACACTGATACCAAGAATTGTTTCCAGTGCCTTTTCGTGGGGATTTTCTTTATTTTAACCTCCATGCCAAAAGGATTCCGGGAAAAGCATGCAAGGCTTAGAAAAATACAACATTAAAAACACATTGAACATACACTGTTAAAACTGGTTATCCATAACCAGTTTTTACTTTATCCACAAAGCACCAAGAAAGGTAGGAGCAACATTAATTTCTGAATAACCAAAAATTAATATATATCTGAAATCATTTTTATAATGTAAATTGTTTATTGAGATGTTATTTATTTACCAATACACCAAGTTCATTGTATAAAAACTTTTTATAACACCATGTTTCCTTAGATATACCTAGCATCAGGTGGCAAGCTTTGAATAGAAACACATAACAGTTCAAGATATTAAGTAATCCTAAGGAAACATAGTTTAAAAAAAAAGGTTTTAAATATGCCTTTTTTATCTGTAATTAAACAAATAATTTAGTTTGATAAGTTCTTCCTACAAATTATTCACGTGTATCAAGATGGTTTCCAGACAGATAAACAGTCAGCTACCTACAGGTTGGTTTTGAGCATAATTTTAGTTTGTGACATAATTTTTTATTTGGAAGATACATGTTTATAAATGAAATCACAAAATTAAATAAAAAGATAAAGTCAAATGTAATAGGTCGCCAAGAAATTAATGTCGCGTTTTGGAACACTTTGATTAACCACCCTCCAAAATAAAAAACGTACATCACGTATAATAGTAAAACGAACCACCTAAACATCACGGTAGTGTAACCTATATAATGTGTAAAGGTTAGTATGCTCTAATCTCTTATAGTGATGGCACCCGACGATACACACAATCGGTACGTAATGATGTTTGAATACAAGAAAAGAAGCAACACCTCTGTAGCCACAGAGAATATCAAAGAAGTTTATAGAAATGTTTTAAACGTTCGTAAGTGTCAACGATGGTGTAGCAAATTTCGTTCAGGTGATTTTAGCCTTAAAAACTGTGATGGCAGGAGCCGACATGTTGGAATTGATATTGATGCTCTGAAGATGCTTGTTGAATCTAACCTGAGGAAACACGCTCGTGAAATGGCCCTGAAATTGCATGTCTCTCATGAAACAATACGTAAACCTCTAAGGAATATCGGAAAACTCCATAAAGAAGGCGTTTGGGTGCCTCACGAACTCTGTTGATCAGCTTTTTCAACGTTGTGAACATTGCTTCGTCTCTGGCGCGTAATGCGCGCGAACCATTTTTGAACAGAATTGTCACCGCTGATGAAAAATAGATTCTCTATGCGACTATTTAAGACCAAAACTATGGCTCAGTCCTAGACAAAAACCAATTCTGACTCCAAAACCTAGTCTTCATCCGCAGAAAGTGATGCTTTGTATTTGGTGGGACATCAGAGGAGTAATTCATTTCGAACTTCTTAATCCACAGTGAAGTGTCAATGCAGAGATCTAAGTTCTAACTCATATGTAATCACTCAAGTGAACAGTTTACCGCATTTTAAAGTAATCAGGAATAAAATTTATATCTGATATAACACCTTGTTATCAACATTTTTAAATATTATCATCCATTTAACTCAAGCCCTTAGTCAGAA